AAGAACATGCGAGCACTTGTTTTTCTTTCTAAAGCAACTTTGGTCAAAGGCACCTATCCGGAAAAGTTTATCAGGCTCAATATCGATAATTTGATTTGAAGTATCAGGAAAGCCATTCTTTACTTCCAAAGAGAAGTGTTTCCTATACGTAAACATCATGTGGAACATCATTCAAAATCATTTCAATTTGATTGTATGCGGTCGAGATAATTGTGTTTGCGGAAAAGAAAAGGTGTGCACTTCGGGATGAGCTTCAACTTTACACAATAGATATCTGGCTGCCGGATGGGAAACATAATTGTGTGTTTCCTTCTTTTATATAAGGAAGACACCTGTTTTATGCAAAACTGATATTCTCTTATAACTTCTGAGATGCAATAAATAAGAAAGGCCTAATAAACCCGCATGTCTGATTTACAATGCAAGTACGAATGTTAGTAATAATGCACATACATGTACGTAAAGAATTTATTGAAACGGAAGAGGGCAAAAAAATACGTATGAAGAGGAGTAAACAATACGCATTTATCGTTATCTCGGATGGAAATGTGAACATTGACCGGAATTTCCTAATTGATTACGAAACGAGTTCAGTTCAGTTTCGCAAGGCACCCACTTCATCCAAAGACTGTTCATTCGCAGGTCCGTGCACAATAAAAAAAAAAATTACAATTATAAGATAACACATAGTATAACATATCAATATTAAAAGCAAACAAAGAACATAAGTATAAAGAAGAGAAAAGGAACATGTACAAACCAAGATACCACCCCACCCCCTCCCCAGTGAAAAAATACACGGGGGCTCGGGGCGAAATAGCCCCAGAAATGCCCCAAAGAGCCCCCTAAAATCAGAAAAGAGCCCCCGAAATTTTGCATAGAGTTCAATGCAAAACAAATTTTAGAATGTTATTTTCATGCAGGCAAGCTTGAAAAGTAGCCCCCGAAAAATAAATATTAATATTTCCCTGCCCCTCCCCCACCTCCATAAGCAATCGTTCTTTCCAATCAACGTTTTTTAATAATTTTGTATAGTTATATAAATAAATATTTATCGCACGAAATATAATACTATCTACTATTACTCAAAACTCAAACAGTAAAATGCATTTCACAAAGTTGCCCGTGATTTAAAATACAGAGAAAGACATGTTTTAGTTATATAAATAAATATTTAAGCGTACGAAAATAAAGACTATCTACTATCTAAAACAACCTAAAACTCAAACAGTCAAATGCATTTCATAAAATTAATATTTATTTTACCCATGATTTGAATACAGAGAAAGACATATATTTTACGTTTATATGTAACTGATTCCAAGATTTAATGCCTCTAGAAAATAAGCTCATTTTCTTCAAATTCATAAGTGGTTTTGGCAGTTCTATGGTTTTACTTATGAGTATTTCTGGAGCTATAATAATATTCTTTAATAACATTTAATTTTTGAACCTATACCAGAGATCATTTCATGAACAATTTTATACAAATTACATTATTCTGATAGATTTCTGTATTCAAAAAAAGAAAATAAGTTTCGGCTAGGGATTCTCCATTCAACTTGGAGTACCACCCGAAGTGCCCTATTCTGCAGTTTTTGCACACTTTGTAAAATGAAAATCTTTTGGAACGGTAAAACAGTTTTACCAACGCGTTTACCCTCATTTTTTAACCGTGTTCGGCAAAACCATGTAATTATATAAATCTAAGTTTCGGGGGAAATAGTTCTTACGGTTCTATTTGTGTTGGGGTGGGGGGGGGGGGGGTTGTTTGTTTTCTCGATTTAATGCACTTGATGCATTGGTATATAGCCCCGCAAAAACGCTAATCAACCTCTCAGGGTTTCTATCCTTACCCCCTTCTATAAATCAAATCATTTTCATATCCTTCATTGTAACATCATTCGTTACATGAATGAGCTTTCATGGACCAGCAGACCCCATTCCCGGATGATACAGCATGTATACATGTATTTATAGATCAACCAGACACCATGACAAAACGTAATGTGAAACCGTATGGAAGTATAAACTTGAACTGAATGGCGTTTTTTCCTTCCTACACACAATCATACTTGTCCTGTACTTGTTTTGTACTGCACGTCAATTAACGAGTGTCAATTTTTGTTCTTCTCTGACATAGCGAAAACACAAAAGACACTATTATAGAGACAAATTTTGAAAGAAAATTTCTTATATGATGCGAAGAAGAACATGAATATTTTAAGGAAGTTTTCAGCTGGACAAAACATGACTTGTGTACAAAATAATGATAAGTTTAAATCACGAAGAAGCCGTTAATTGGTTTTAATAAAAGCAGACAAATGAGAGACACAAATTAGTGACAATTCGAGCAAAATCTAAATTTTCTCTTTGAAAAAAAAAAAAATTCATAAACTTACATTTTCTTAGTTATTTTTTCGTGAAGGGGTCGTATAAAAAAATATTTGCAATAATTTTATTTAGGGTGAATGTCTCAACACAATTATTTTTTTTCCTCTAAAATATCATCCCATAACTTCTGTTGGTTGACCCTATTTTATTACGTCCAGCTAATGCATGATAACAAGAGCCACATTTCAGTGATAGCAAGGGTCATATCAGCTTGTAAAGCGCATACAAATACACGAATTAGAGCTTGTTTTAACCTTAGAAAGTTGGTTAAGATAATGGTTTTATCTCTTCCTTAACCGATTAGCATTCTTTGTTCTTGAATAGCTCCCCCACGCTTGGCGTCCCATAGTCCGCTCATCTGGCGCCAGCGGGACTACCGGCAACTCTTCCTGGTTCAGTGTACGCATGCGCAAGAGGCCTCGGGGCACAGTGCTTATCATCACCGAGTCAACGCTGGAGAGCAATTTTTATGATTTACTTTTCCGTTATGATGAGAGATTTTCTTGTCAAATGACAAGAGGATTCTTCTCTTCCTGATACACGAGCAATATCATTATTGGAATAGTGATTAGGTGTACACGCAGCATGCCTGAGCGAGCCTTACAAAGACGCATTCATTAAAACAAAAATATAGTGCTCAGCGTCATTGTCCGTTGTCTTGTGCTACTTTATTATTTCACGGTTCAAAGTGGAAAGTTCTCTTTATTTATGACATATAACCCACCTACTACTATGTTCAAGCGAAGGTTAGTCACTGTCACAGCGAATGTTCAATATTAATCATCACAAGAATTCTCCGGTAACATTGTTGAAGGTTAATGAAAAAACTGCGTAATTTTTGTATGAAATGTTACTTATTATACTGTACTAACCCTCTTACATGCAAAAAATCCTTAAATAATTCTCAAACCACAAAGATATTTATGGTTTTTATTGAACTCGCATCAATGCCTGGTCATCCCCCTCTAACAGTAAATTCTCTCAACAAATTTCTGATTTTCCCAACCGTTTTTCCATGAAAATAAGACACAAAACAGGAGTTTAAAAAAATTCAACACTTAAATTTTTGGAATGGTTATAGAGCCAATTCATTGCTTTGAGACGATTTACATTCACCTAGAATCAAATCAAATTATATTAATGTAGTTGGGAGAATTAAGGAGTCCATCACATCAGTTTTACCCATTTTTTATCATTTATAATGATCCGTTTTCACTCAAACTTTCAGATTATCTGTAATTATACATCTAGCATTGAAGTATATACCTTAGCACCCTTATCTCTCATCTGAACAATGTTACCAAGTCCCTTTAAAGAATGAATAACATTATCATACCATTACAGGTATGAATTACTTAATCATCTACCGAACACAAAATATTGCAATCGAAATCAATTCAGAATCACAAAACCTTCATCTTTATCGAGATCTTATGAGAAAAGGCAGCGTTAATGTTTGTAATATTATTACAACATAATGTGCTCCAAGCACGCTTTGCAAGTTTGCATTCATGATTTTGATCACGGTTGCTCAACACATCAAGATACGTTCTCTATTACTTATCATTCTTCATGAATATAACCACCTCCATAGTTGCCATTTTCCCTTTTATATTTATCTAGTCTTTCTCAACTTCTCTTCACTGAAGTCTCATTCATTTCCACCTCCTATACTTTCGATGTGTTCGCTACCACCACCTAATCATCACGAGCATCACTCATCGATTTCAGCCATTTGTCATATTACCAAATCTTCCATCTTTTCTAATCATTTTACCTTCTGACAGTAGTCTCAATTTTATGTGAAAAAAAAGTTGGGGAAAAAAAACTTACAAAAGTGCCCTTTTTAAAATAAATGTAATGCTTCCTGGGATAAATTTCAATAGTTTGAACATATTTGTGGCTTACACCCAGTAAATAAGATCGATTGATCGATCTGTAATTGAAAAACAAGTCAGAAAAAATTGCCCTTATTGATAATGTTTTCAGAAATGAACTAGTTTGTCCTTTTAACGAAAAAACAACTCAATATAGTGTGATTAAGTATTAATTAAGATGCACTTGAGTTACATTTCCCAATCGATATGATACAAAAATACTCTTCTTTTAACCTAAAGTATTTCCAAGAGAATAGTAATAGCATGGAAGATACATGTACATTAATGCTTTCTCTTCTGGTCGCAATAGTTCACAAATAATCGGAAGAAATGTGAGTTTTATAGAGACAAATGAAACGTGTAAAACATACTTTTTTTGATAGGAATAATCCTAACGATAATTCTTCGTAATTTTAAGTCATAAATATTTCCAATGAAACTTGAGGAACAATACGTGTATTTTGTGAACGATTGAAATTGTCTCAACTGAACTGAAAGTCTGAAATGTTACTTTACCTTTTTATTTCGAATCATACTTAGGCTAATGGTATTCGATTGATAGGGATACTTGGGTATATTTTATTTATCTTTAAAATATATGAGAGGAAATATCAATAATTGGCATATTTCACTTCAACTCAGGTTATTACACGACAACATTATTTTCACACTTTTATACCAAACCGAATCCATCTCTAACAAAAGAGAAAACGCTATACCATACAATGGTTTCATGTTCTGAAATAGATAAGATTTTCTTTTATTGAAAACAACCAGACACATTATACTGCTTCTTACAATATTTCTCCACAGTTCGAAAGAGCAATTAAAACCACACAATTTCATCTAAGAGTAGGATTTTCATGACAAAAAGAAAAGACGTAGCTATTTTTTGTTTATCTGGTGCAATATGAATTCTCTCAACACTGTTTGAATAAACTTCACAATTTGTCATATCAACCTATATATTCATTGTCAGCAAATCACTAGAAAATAGGCTTTAATCAATTTGGAAAATACAAGGAGATTTCCTTTTCAGAGTCGATACCAAAAACAAACAAAAAACGATTTTGAAATATTTGCACGATAGGACAAAACAACATGATATAGGCAATGTTATAGACTATTCGATAATATCGATTTTTTTTTCGTCTTCAAACTAATTTCCTATTAAAAAAAAAATTATTGGGACTACATTTCAATGAATATTTCTGTTTATCGGGTTACGTATTCTTCTTCATTTCGTCATTTATTCTAGCATGAAGTCAATTTTTTTTAATGTACTTTATGTTTAAAAAAAGAGTACTGAATAGTTTCAAAGTGGCATCAACTTCTGATAAGATTGTACTGTTTATTCCACGGCAAAAAGAGAAGTACTAAAATAGAAAATTAGTTTACGATTTGCGGAACATTACTTTAAAAGGATGTACTTCAAACTGCATTCTAATTGAAGAAAGAGAGAGAAAAAAAGCATGTTTAAGTTGTATAAGATACTTCTATAATTTAAGTTGAATTTTCACACAAGTCCTATATCTTCCTCGTCAAGATTTCTCTGCTGTATTGGGACAAGATATATCGATCTTAATTTGTCAAACAAATTCTTCTTAAATCATGACTCAAAAGAATTCTCAAAGAATCCCGTGTTTTAAAAAACCTGTCGACCTAAATATTACTTTAAGGACGCTTAAATTTTTTGTTTTGTATATCAGTAGTACATGTAGGTCGAAATAAATAAACATGAAAAGGAACAACGATCGTGAACAGATGTACAAGATCAAATTTACAGCAACTCTAACGGAATGATATAGAAAACAATTATCATTTCTGAAATCAACCGAACGCAATTAAAGCTTCAAGTTCAACCAAGATTACAAACAGAGAACAAACAAAACACATCAATGCACAGATAGAGGTCATGAAATATTTACAGGTAAAAGTGGTTTAAATACATCTTCTTTGTCTCTTGCACCATGATATAATTCTTTAGTATCATAAAAACATCATCAATTATTACATTACATGTCCGCTATGAAAGCAGTAAATTCTTCAGCCATTTTCGGTATCGCCTCATAAAGTATTACTCAAATATCAACGCACTTCAAAATAATAGGCATCACTTTTGCTTTGGTTTGATAGAGAAAAATGTTCAAATTAGTCAGTAATTTCTCATCAACGAAATAAAGTTCGTTCGCAACAGATATATTAAAGAGAAAGTATACCATGATCTAAATCAGACATAATAAGTAGCACTACCCTAATCATGCTTTAAGTTGATACAATTTTATTTCTGCGGCGGAAATAATTATGTTTTTCTTCTGGAGGTAGCTTTATTTTTAATTGGTAAAACGGGACTTGTTTACATACGAGATACAGTTTCTAAATATTCACTTGATATCTAGATATTTTAAATGCATTAAAGAAACTATCAACATTTCATACAAGTACTTACTTTGGCAAGATGCATATAATTTGAGAAAGTGAAGAAACGCGAGAGTATTTTCAACAAACGCTGTCCACGCCATGAATGTTTGCAATATTCATGTATTGTTCGTCTATTTCGCAGGTACGGCATTTTGTCGTCCTCGTATGCACATTTTCATTCATAAACAAATTGAAAACCGATGGTACTAACTAGTCCGGCAATAATAACCTGTCTTTCAAAGTTCTCAAACGAACAAAATTAGTAAATCACGGTTATCTCAATTATCAGGATCATAATGCGATTGAAAGTATCATAACTATTTTGTTTCAGGTTTGGAGGCTTCAAAATTAACAAAAAGGAGCGATTGAAATAGCCATCATCGACGATGAAAAGTATTTAGAATCTTTCTTTTCCTATCGACCGTTTTTTTTATGATGTCCTTTGTGCACAAAAAAAATGGGAAAAGAAAAAACAACAGCTATTTTGAGCGACAGTCCCATCTTGCACTCGCGGAGAAGCTCAGGCATCGTCGAGTAGCACGCTCCCGGTAAATCCTCGGTTTTCAGCGAGCGAGCGGCTGGCGTCTCAGTCGCGGGCATCCCATGATATTTTCCACCACGTATACACTAAATCAATAGGAGGCTTGATGTATGGCGTGGGGCTGTTGGTGTGTATGCTGCTGGGCGACTCCAGATAGCATGAAGTTCTTACGGTCCGCCACGGCTGAACAAGCCATACCTGCCGGCGGGCTGTCCCCCATCTCCCCGTGTACCACTCCCCTCATGCCCTGTAGGGAGGCTGGATATACACAAACGGAGAGAAGCAAAAATACACAAAAGTGAGTTGGAATAATAAATAAAGGAGGGAGATTGTTTTATTATAACATTCAGACAATAATAAAACCTGCATTCGCTTGTTATCAAGAGGTGAGCTTTTTGTTTTTATAAGCGTGAGCTCTTCATGTGCTAATGACTTCTTTAGCATATTAAGTGGGAGTGGGAGGGGGTTGGATTTTGGAAGTGGGCAAAATATATTGTGGATGAAATTTCAATTTTTTTTGAATGCCTTTATTATTGGCATTGAATTTCAAATTCCAAAAGAGCATCCTATTACTATACTGGCAATTTAATTTTGTAGGCCTACATCGACCCATGGATTATTGTTCATCCCCGTAAAAATGCTCTGTCCTCCAAACATGATACTGATCAAATGATATGCCAGTTCTCTCGAGTAAATATATGTTAATGGTAAAAACTAAATGGAGTTTCAACATTTCTGGAAGGAACGATAAATCAGTTTGTTTCTTTTACAAGACTATGAAACAACGACTTTACAAATAGTAAGGATATTAAATGTTAAAAATTCCCAAGATAATGCTCAAGAATGAAAGGAAACAAAAACTCTCAACACCAAATATACTTTCGTCCAGGCATATCAGTTTAACAAAAGAATTATCATAAAAATGAACACAGTTTCGTAATTTCATTATCACCATTGACATTACTACCACTATATACCACCACCACCACCATTTTTATCATCACCACCATTGCCATCAATAACAACATCATCAACATTAATATCCAGATCACAATCGGGGACAATCTCAAACATTTTTTAACATGTTCATCCTTTCAAAATAATTAGATTGACTCATAGAGCCATTGTCAAGAAATAAGAAAAAAACTTTAATTCAAGTGCCCTCTTTGTTGGGCCAGACATTATTTCCTCGGGGGGGGGGGGGGGGGGGAGTGGGTTGGTAACAATTGGTATATAGGATACATGGCCGATATACTCTCACCACTCACCTCGTGCGTTTTTATCCTTTTTCTTTAAAACAAATTATTACAGGGAAGCAAGAAGATTCCTCGGGACGTATTATAGCACATTGTGTTGCGTACGGCGGATATTCTTCCCTGGCATATTATGTGTGAGAACGGGACGAAGGAGTGAAGGAAGAGTCTGCATCCCCTTCCCCGCTATTTTCATTTCAATTCTGCCAATATTCGGGCAGTGAGCTAGTGGTATAGTTGTGTATATTCTTATACATATGAATGTATATTTTACTACAATAAAAGACTCGAAAAATATTTCAAAAATGGAAAGTTGATATTCGAGCAAGAGACGCCAGTTCCAGGCAACATTATAATGTCCCTAGTTTTCCATGTGAGGTCTAATAACTCAATGGTGCAACATAAGTGTTAAAAATTTCGATGGGACGAAAATTATGATTAAAGACTTTAAAGTTTACGTCTTCAGAGTTGGCCTATATAATACCCTGACAAATAAAAATAACAGAATTAAGATATTTGAACGACACCACAATATGAAACAATTATAAATTATAAACTGCAAAATTAAAACAATCATGAAAAGTCAGAAACGTTTCCATAACTATTTTCATTCAACACAAAGGACAAATAACAGAATTTCCTTTCCAAAATTAAAATTAAATGTAATTCTATTTTGAGAGAAAACTATTGAAAATGGGAAAATCATTGGGTTCTTGAATGCGGCAAGCTTATCTGTGAAAACCCAAATCTTATACTCATAACAAACAATTTTGTAATACATATTTTAATTTTATAGTACAGAAATGCTTATAAATCATCTAGAAATGATCAGGAACGTCAATTTACAGTAAAAGTTCTTTGAAAAACGATATTCATATTACACAAATATATTTCAAACAAAATATGTACATTAAGCATAATAAAGGTAGAGAAACAATACTATCAAACTACTAACTATAGTGACCAAGTGACTCGGATTAAAAGTGTAAAACACAAAACTTAGAGAATTAGAGGACTGTAAATTATTATTTTTCTGATATTTATGCAAGTAATAGGAGAAGGGAATTGATCAAATATGGAATTTAGCTTTTAAATTCTTGCAAGTCCCATCAAATCTAATAGCCGTTTCGAGCAACTGTCATTTAGGAGGCACTGAGTAACGTCGTATTATGTATTATTTTCATGGACATTTTGAGGTCCTATTTTTTAAAACAGCTTAGGATATTAATGGCATTCAGCTTCACATAGCGTGGTTAAAAGTGACTATAACTTGTTTTGAAAGTGGACCACCTTCACTATTATTATGCCTTTCATTTCTGATGATTCACTGTTGTTTGTAAAGGAAAAAAATGCTAAATAAAACAAAACATAGAGATGACAAATAGCGTGATGGGGGAAGAGAGAGTGAGTGAGTGCGTGTGAGGGAGAGAGGGAGAGGGGGAGGGAGAGGTAGAGGGAGAGAGAGAGAGAGAGAGAGAGAGAGAGAAAAGGAGAAATATGGTAGGAGGAAGAGAGAGAGAGAGGAGTGGGGAAAGGAGTGTAATGAGTGTGTGTGTCAGAGAGAGAGAGAGAGAGAGAGAGAAAGAGAGGGGGTGGATAGAGAGAATAGACATGCGGTAGGGAGAGATGGAAGGAGAGAGAGAGAAGGAGAACGAAGATAGAGAGGGGGATGAAGCCTGGAGAAAGGGATAAGGAGAAAGAGAGATCGAGAGGTAGAGAGACAGAGAGAAAGAGAGAGAGAGAGAGAGCGGGAGAGTGTGGTTATTAAAGAATGACAGGAGAGAAAACACAGGGCTATGGAAGATTGACTTTCGAATGAAAACTGCTCCCATCAAAGCGATAAATCATTGCTTCTACATTTTCATCTCAATCAAACGGCATCTGTGTCAAGTCCACACAATGGGACCAAAACACATTCTTATCACGCAAAAACGGTGACCTGTGGTCGCCGCAACCATATTTTTCATTTCACCAAAACAGATTTTACCCCTCACTTTTTGCATTTAACACGATTAATTTATTCTATAAGACTACAGTACAGCATACATGACTGTAAGTATGAAGGCCTCCGGAAGCTTTGTTTTTTAAGAAGGCCTGATCTACATCCATAATTCAACTTGGAAGACGGTGATAAAGACTGGTGAAAACGATTGGTGAATAATACAATTATTGTAATAATTATCTTTAGATTATTTTTAGATAAAGAGCGCAAAGGAAATGCACTGCAATGAGTCACGAAGAATGAAAAGAGATGTATCCAACACCATTATAAGATCAACATAGAAATATCAGAATAATTTTAAAAAATGAATATAAATGTAGGCTCTATTGAGAATTTATGGCCTTGTTCATCACTTTTTTAAAAATATGCAGACATTATAATGACGTATCAATAAATCCGAACGGGATTTCTACGGGACGTACATAGGGATATTGAAACTACCATTGAGTTCATTTCTCGAAAGTATTTGCGACTGCGTTACCGTCAACTTGTTCATACTTCTCATCGTTTTACATCAGTGATTCCCATAGGCCCAATCATTTTAGCGACACAAACAAAGACACATCAATGATATGGTTATGGATATGTTTTTCAAAAGGGGGAAAAACTTATCTACTTCCGCAAGAGAAACATCGTGACAAACATTTTATTTTTCACGTTTTTAGAGTCACATTACATCCCTTCCACGTTATGGGGACCATGACAACAAGTTTTGGATGTGCTACCAGTACCATCATCATTTATGAGCAAGACAGACAGACACAAGCCGGGGTTTGTGGCCCATTGGCCGTGTGTGTGGTCGGCATCTGTATCACATCCCAAGGAGAAATAAAAATGAAAGATGGGAGATAATGGGGCAGGCTGAAGGGAAACTATGGCAATGAAAATGGGAGAGAGGTAGAGGGAGAGGAGAAGGATGAGGGGGCGGGGGGGGGGGGGGGGGGGAGATGTGAACTAGAAAACAAGGCAACACCGTCTACCCTCATAAGTTATCCGGTATACCAAGTTATCCTGATAAGGCATAGTTGGAACGAAAGGAACGAAATACATTGGCGACGGATGGGAAAGCATGAAAATAATATCCCGAAAAAAAGGAAAAAACAAAAAAGAAGCGACCACCCCACAAAAAAAAATATCATGACACTTTTAGGGCTGAACATATTCATGAGCGCAAAGAGTGAGTGAGAGAGATAGAGAAGGGGGGGGGGGGTAGAGAAACGAAGGGGTCGTCAATAAATGTACTTGCATGCCTGTAACTTTCCAACTCAGGTCATTGTAGAAAAACTGAAAAAACTGAAGTACAGAGAAAGCCCAACACAATATCTGTCAAATTAAAAACATGTTAAATGTTAAAATAATCTTTTACCTAACATGATATATTCCATTTACATGGTTACAACAGCAATAAAACTCCATCTTGGAGACCGCAGATTTGAAAGTGCATGTGTAGAATGACACTCGATTGACAGCGGTTACATAACAACGAATCCACCGCAATAAATGGCCGGGTCGCGTGGATCGCAAGTGGATGAGGATAACGAAACTACAAGCAATAAACAATTCACCTCTAATTTATAAACATAGCAATTAGGTCGAATTAAGTGCAGTTAAAATTAGATTTCGATTTGTCTGGGGTTGTGTGACCTCAGTGAAGGTCACAAGTTGTAAACACAGAGATGGAGAGTGCGGTTTCGCACGTGGAGAACTGATTTCAGTAGCATTTGCAATTGAAAAAAAAAGTCCTATACCTTCTTTATTATTGCAGAATGATATCGACGTCTATTAGTATGAATATGTGTTTGTGTTATGAAAAAGGCTCGTAAACTAAAATGATAGTTGCGACCAAACTTACTGGACTTGACGTACAACAACGCATAGCCCTCCGTAAGTAAAAACGGTTACAGGCGAGAGATGATAATAATGAAATTATCTCACGTTGACCTACTTATATGAGGTTGAAATCTCAATTATATGCCCTTACCCATTGTACTTCTTTTCAGTAA